CTGAAACAATGACTGGCTCAAAGTCACATAGTGATCTTCCATAACGAAGGATGATCTTGAAAATTGGGTCTTTCCAGCCCCCATCCAATTTATTGCTACACAACACTGGCTTTTTACCATCCTGCATTATAAAGCACAGCTCGAGATGCTGACACCTGCAGGCACTATCAGACTCCCACCAAGAGGTGCTCCCAAACCACAGTAAAGATAAGATACAAGAACGATGTTTCATAAGATTTTGATATCTCACAAGATTTCATAAGACTTGGACAACTGAAAACTCTTTTTGGGATGGTGCCTGAGCCATTGTACAATGGTTGCCGTTCCACGTTATAATAACACTTATGTGCACAGTATTGTTAGTTTTTTAATACATCTTTGCTCCAGGAATTCCCATGTTTTTCCACCATCTGTCCTTTTTCTTATGAAATAACCTGTTGGCTAAAAAGATTATTATGCAACCCTGGCAGGAAGAAGGGGAGGAAAAGATAGAACAGAAAGATACAAGAAGTACACAATACCCTTTCATTGGTAGCACTAGGAACTTGTTCTACCATCTCTCTTGATGTTCATGAGTCATCTTCAGTTTATAATGCACCCACTATTTAGCATTTACAACATTATTAATATAGAATCAAATATAGCACAAAACAGAAGTTTGATAATTCTTTTGATGTGATAGTTGTTACATTTAGAAACCATAAAGTACATATTTCAAATACATGTTTATGTTACAACTTTACTACTGTGGATATAGATTTTTGGAAAAAAATAATGATTTGTTCTTGTTAGGCGTTTATTCTCTATTACTGGTTAAGATTCCAGCAATGATTTATTAGAGTTTTAAGTTCAGATCGTTAGATGATGTGCATAATAAAAGAATGAGGAAAATTTTTGATGAAAGAGGTTTTGGACAAACTCATTCGCTTTGGACAAAGCAAACATTCTGAGAGTCCATAAGATAACAGTTTGGAATCCACCAGTGCAATTTACCAATCAAGCTGATGTTTGTTTCCGTGAAGTCTTGTAAGTAGCTGCAAAAGTTATTTAATGGTTTTAAATAATCAAGTAATAAAAATTGAAACATTGAGCTAAACAGACACCAGTTTTTCTACAGTGCAAGAATCGTAAGATCTCTTCTACCTTACCTATACATTTTATTGCATATGATTCCTTTTAGATGTATAGGTCTTAGTTGTATTTCAGGTATTGCTCTTATCAGCCAAATGCTGTGCTCACATATCATGCTAAGCCATGTTTTGTGGCTCATAAAATGTATAATGATAAGAACCATAGATTGGTAGCAATACAATTCATAGAATTCCTAAAGTTTTCTTTGATCTGGGAACGATGGGAGTTGTTTGGGCCAAGAAATCTTCAAGGAAAGCTATTCTACAGTTCGTCTTCTTTTTTTTGTATAATTTTTATTAAGTTTTGAACAGAAGATAAAAACTAACAAGAACTAATATAAAGTAAAGAAAGGAAAAAAGACAAAAGACAAAGAATGAAAAGAAATAGAAAGAAGTAGCTTTCGATTTTCTTTGCAGCAAATATAAATACAATTACAAAATTACCTTTAACTCTATGGTTTCAAAAAGAAAAGCTCTTTTTTTCCTATTGTCTATTTTTTCTAATCTTCACAGCCATAAATCATAAGATCATTTTTTCTGCTTCATGCAAAAAGTCTATAAGGGGTTTCTGGTCAGCAATAAATGTAGATGTTGTCTTTGCTGTAATCAAGGAAGTCAGTTTGGCCATCTCTGCAAGTTCCATCATCTTCATCTTCACAACCATTCCTCCGTTATGGATAGTGCTGAATCTTTCCACTTTTAAGCATATAATAATCTCGCTGCAGTTATCATATATGAAAACAAAGTTCCATGACTTTTTTTCAGCTGTCTGTCCATCAATCCCAAAAGGAAAGCTTCTGGTTTCAATTGTATGTTAGCCTTTAAGATCTAATGAATTAGTGTATATACTTGCACCCAAAACTTTCTGGCTTTTTTATACATCCACCAAACATAATAAAATGTATCTTCCTGTTGTTCACACTTCCAACATAAATTTGAAGTACCTTTATACATTTTAGACAATTTCTCTGGTGACATATATCAATGGTACATCGTTTTATAAAAAAATCTCTTTAAGATTAGAACATAATGTAAATTTCTGTCATTTCAACTACGTATTTTCCCATTGTTCCATTTGTATATTGTAACCAAAATTTTAGCCCATTTTATCATACATTATAGTCTAGTTCTCAAACTTTGCACTACTGAGCGCTCCTAAAATTATAAATGAAAGTGGATCATTCCATGCATAAAAATAATTATTTCATTAGGGCTAACTGCAATTTTATGTACTATTCTTTAGAAGTAAGCCTGACTGAACTTGGTGGAAATTATTTCTAAGTAAATATGTAAGTTTGGTTTGTTGCATTCCTATTTTTCATCACAAGTTTATTCAACTGAGCTTATGGGGCTTATTCCCTTATAAGTACATATCATTGTATCATTATTCAGGATTAAGTAATTAAAATGTCCAACTGGAATACAGAAGCAGGATGCATTAAAGCCTTTATCACACAAGCGATAATATGTGTGATAATTTTTTACACATATCTTGAATTCTTAATAATGAAATAATTGCTTTATTAAAAGCTAAGTTGGCAGTGTATCAGTTACAAAAAGGAACAAGACACTAAATAAATGTCATGGAGAAACATGATTCAGAACACAATAAAGCACAAAACACAAACTACTTTCACAGGAGCTAAGATTTCTCTCTAAGATGTGTCAGCCAACCCTATGGGAATAGAGGGATATTCCCGCTTGGTTTCACTGGTGCTAAGTATTAAACTATGTAAGGCCTACCATGTTAGACTATATAACATTAAATAAAGACAATTAATTGTGGCAAAACAATGATATCCCATTGAAATTCAGTTCAAATAAATATATTCAGAGCTTGAAGGGCTCTGCAATGGAATACTATTTAGTAGGGTGACCAGATCTGGGCTGTTAAAATACAGATGGCCACTAGATGGGAGCAAAGGGTTAGAACTTTCTATAACTCTTTGCCCCTGTTTACTGGGTGTCTGGATTCTTGCAACCAGATCTGATAGCCCTACATCTAGTGACCCCTCCTGTATTAAAAGTCATAAGCCTCTTGGCTGATAGTTTGGCTTAGCATAAGCTATTTTTAAAATTTCCCCTCAATCCTCCTGCCATAACATTGTTTCAGTGCATCATGGGAACTTAAATTAGTGTCTCTCAGGCAAAAAAGTATTCAAAGAGCAGGCATTTGTGATAGTCCTTGCCAATGCGCTGGGCCCCAAAATAGTTGCCTATTCTATTTCTGGCATGCCTGTCATATGGAGAATGCTTTTCATTTGCTTTTAATTTACATTCAAAGTTGTTTCTCTATACAGAGTGAATGCAATAATACTTCTAAAACAAATGAATTGTAATTTAATTCTGTATTCAATCTTTTTATTTCTAACATATTTCTGAGCAATTGACATCATAGTAGTAGACTGCATTAACAAAAACACATGTGTAGGAAGATCACAATAATTAATAGGTTTTAAATTGAAAATGTGCTACAATGTAAGTTATAATTCATTTATAATGTCCACCAAAAAATAAAATGGGATAGAAATTAATATTATTATTACTCTAACATCTCAATAATATAGAAAGTGCTTTAACATTCTGTTTGAATAGACCCAAAACAAGTTAGTTATACGGTGACCTGATTTATACATTGTGCTGACTCATTTAGCTATGGTTTATTGAATAAACTAGACATGGTTCAAATAAAAAAACATGGTTTACAGACCACAGTGGCCTGATAGCCAACATGTTAATCAAAACCAGACAAACTACATTATTGTGGTACAATGAGCAAACCATACCTTAGTTCCCCTTGAAAGCCTTGATTACCAGCTCAGGTCCTGAGCACCAGCCATTTAGATAGCTGTAATGAACTCCATATAGGGCAACCTTTGGAGACAACGTGTAAGCTGCAGCTGATCCAGAAGGCAGCAGCGAGGCTGTTCAAAGGTCAACTGTGCCACTGTTGGACAATGTTACTGAGTTCAATAATACTTGCTACCAAATAAGTGTACAGAGGATTGCTGCTTTATTATTCAAATTATTGAATTTGAATAATATTGAATTATTTCAGGGACAGCCCTCCACCCTTTCCCAGCGAGTATATAATAGATTTAAAAAGTGTATTAGCTCCTTAGAGCAGTGTTTCCCAACCTTGACAACTTTACGATGGGTAGACTTCAACTCCCAGAATTTCCCAGCCAGCCATGGGAAATTCTGGGAGTTGAAATCCACCCATCTTAAAGTTGCCAAGGTTGAGAAACACTGCCTTACAGAGTCATGTGTACAGGCCCTTGCATTCTTGCAGCTTCTCTGCTCTCAGTAAAGTTCCTGCTGATGTTTTTGGTTTCAAAGCAGTTCAAAGAAGACAGAGGATAGGAGGAATGGATAACAATAATGTGGTGTCAATATATAAGGTGACGTTGGATCTTTGCACCAGGGTTATCTCCTTGCAGCTGTCTTAGTCATAGCCCAGTATGTAAAGCGTTAGGATGAAAGGGGGTCTTTTATTCCAGATTGGGCAATTGGGGCCCACTGAGAGTCTCCCTTGTATCACTCTACCAAGATTCAGTGACTTAATTTACAGAATGTCTTATGAAGTCATAGTGGTTTAAGTGTGGGTCCTTATTACCCATAAGGACTCTCTAGTAGGGTGGGTGAATGCTTTTCTTATTTTTATATGATTTTTAAAAATGTTTGCGTTATAATGCTCTGTTCCTTTTCAGAATATATATTAAGAAATGTCTGGCCAGCCCCAGTTTCTTCTTCATGAATTGTTACATCTCAACACAAACAAAATAAAGCAGCATCTTTATTTAATATATAATTATAAGTACAAAAATGTTTATTACACAAGAGCTGTTTTGTGTACAATATATTATATTGCTATAAGCCAATGCAAAGAGTGAGTTCATAATTCCACTTTATTTCCAATATATTATAATGTTTCAATGCCACAGTCCTGTTGCATTTCATATAGAGCATATTGTGGAAACAAATTGATTTTAAGTTAAAAAAAATTAAACAAAATACTAGAAGCCCTTCACTCTGAAATAGAAATCCAACCTCAATTTCTATTTCTTCTACTTGTTTAAGCTAGGTTGAGTACAAGAAAAACTGTATGTTCTAGGCTGTCGTTTTAAAATTCATCCTTATGGACCATCAATTTATTCTGAGGAATTTCTGAGCATGCGCACCCACCCACACACACACACACACACACAAACTATTATCTCAATAAAGAACTGAAATATAGTACAAAAAGAAATCAGTCAAAAGCACTGAAAACAGGAAGCCTATATAACCGTGCTAGAGAAATAAAAGTTTAAAAGAATAGTAAGTATCAGCTCTGGGGTTTATAATGAAGCTAATAAAATTCAGGCCAGTAATCTTAAAACATAATGAACACCATTTTTAATATTGAACACATGACAGGTTAATGGAGGCTAGAACGTTGTGTAATGCAAAACATTTCAGAAGTTGCCATTCACCAGATATAATTGGATTCCGGGACCGCTTGGGTCTCTTCAGCCTGCTTAGGTGAAGGCGTGTGCTGCCTGTGCTTGGTGCCTGTTGGCCTCAGGGCATTAAGAAGGTTGGCTCCATACCCTAAAAAAAGACCCAGTTCAAAAGTAAAGAAACCACCAAAGGAGATGTGTTGTTGTCACTGTTAGTATTTCACATGGAACAGTATTCTGCATTTGAAACCAAGCTCACGGGTCTAACACTGTCTTTATGCTAGTGAAATTGTATAACTTATATTTAACTGTGAATAATACTACTCTTCCATTATCTTAATGGATCTATCATGTTACACTCTAAAGTACAGATGCTACAGTTCAGAAAACCAATTCATGCCATTGTTTTCTGTATGGTGCATTTAACAGATTATTCCATCATAAATCTGTTTGTTTAACAGCTTAAAGTGGCACAATATTTCATTTGTTTCTGCAACAGAATGTTGTACAGTGGAATCCAGCCAGCTATTCTAACTTCCATGATATCCCATTTCCTTCATCCTCCTAATTCAGTGGGTCTGATAGAATAAAAATTATTTTTCTGTTTTATTTTTTTGTGCCTGAACACGTTAACACCTTCTCTTTGCCTTTATAAAAATCCTCTTTTGGATAATGAGATTACTGTTAGCATTTGTGTATGTGTGTGTGTGTGTGTGTGTGTGTGTGTGTGTGTAGAGGGAGAGGGAGAGGGAGTGGGTGGTGGATTGCAATAAGGCCCAAATTGTGAAACAAAGATTGTAAAATTTGAGAAAATGTTTTACAGTGAGAGTATTCAAGACCATGTCCTGGTTCAGTAAGTCTATGGTCTTCTAAATAAGTGCTTAAAATGGAGTACGACTGTTGGCCCAGGCTGATTCACAACTGTGGAACTGCACTAACTTAGCTGTTTGAATTTGGAGAGCAAATTTAGGCAGCTGTAGTACTTGTGCTATCACAGCACCAGCCATTATTTCAAAATGTGGCACTATGCCATTAATGAAAACTGTTGCTTGGAACCGAGTTGATTGGAGCGCGATAACTGACAACTCATTCACCATCAGTCATTCTAGACCGATGTACATAGTGTTTAATAGTTATCTTGCATGCTAGGATTTCAGCTGACAGATAAGATTCCATTGCTACTACATCACCCCAAATCACTACAGCCCTGTTACATGCAGACAGATCTGAAAAGTCATATGTATTGGGACTTACTTTTATTGCAGTTCCTTCCATGCCAGCCATCTTGACATTGGCATGTGTTTGGCTCAATACAGATCCCATATAATCCACAGCTAGGTTCACAGACAGCTATAATGGGTTATATTAATATCAAAGTCAATGTCTTTTTATAGAAGAATCTTATACTGTACAATACTTGCCAACATGATGTTAATATGAAGACAGAGGCCTTCTGAATCTGCCACCCTCCCCTTTTCTTCCAGCCATCAAGATATCTAAGCCACATAACAGTTCCCAAATTCAGAAAACCCAAAATGTGGCAAGATTTACTATCCTTTGAACAAGTGCTCTTGAGAGGAAATTTTGAGATACAGGTAGTCCTCATTTAGCAACTGCCTCATTTAGCGACTGTTCGTAGTTACAACCGTGATGAAAAAGTAACTTTACGACAAATCCTTGCATTTACTTAGCGACCACTTTGCTTAATGAGTTGCATTAAGTTGCCGATCCCAATTGTAGTTGCTAAAGAAGGACTACCTGTAGTCCATTCAAACAAAGACTTTGCCTTTGTGGTGAAGGAGTTAATGAAACATTAATACATGTTTTAGTATATTGCTCTTATTACAAATATGCCCTATTACAGCTAATGTTTCCCCATCTGGTCAGATTTCCAGGCCATCTGGATTCATTCTGTTTATAGTTATGATTGTCTGACCAATGTGGTTTTATTTCTATGAATGTAGCTATTTTTTGCTTTCCTAGTTAGATATATAGTACTTGGATCACATCAATTTTATAATTATTTAGTTTTATTATGATTTTTATTTGCTTTCTCAGAATTTGTTGTCTTGGTTTTTTTAAATTTGGTCAATGACTGTAATAAAGCTTATTGATTTACTGATTAACTGAATCTGCTATAAATACTTAAAAAGATCTCCTACTTACGTTTTGAACAAAGGTCCCCCTGATAGCCTTTGGAGCACTTGCATTTATTTTTACCAGTACATTTACCTCCATTTCGACATGGCTGATGGCATTTGCCTAGGAATAGTAAATGTGACAGTGGTACCTTGTTTTATTTAAGTTAAAGCTAATCCAACAACACCAGCTCTGGGATGGTTACACATTCAGAACAGCTACTTTGACATAAAACAAGACTGTACAACATATTTCAGCTGAGAAAGGGCACATTGTAACTTCTTTCCATAATTTCACTTTTTAAAATCCTCCAAAGCAAAAAAAGGCTAAACATGTTGGACCTGCCCAGTCTGGGGAGCTTTGGGGGCTGCAAATGGATTGCTGATGGGCTGCATGGAACCACACTTTTTAAGTGATAACAACCCAAATAAGACAATTATGTGAAAGGTAAAGAAACCCTGAATTCCCGCATTCAGTAGCCACTTGGGTTCAGAAACTGATTTGTTTTAACCATAGTTGTTGAATGACCCATAATGGGTGGGTTTAAAAAACACTAAGCCATAAACCATAGTTTACAAACTGTAATTCCTGTACCCACATAACATGCTTCTGCAAAACCAAACAAACTATTCTGGCTTAGTACGGTGTTTGAACTCAGCACATCCCGAGTATGCAAGGTAGTCTGTATATTAGAGATCTTAGCTTGAATAGAAGCTAAGTGGGTATATGCATGGGATAAAGCTGTGCTTTGGTTGCTTTTGCACATAGTGGCTAAAACTGGCTGGAATTACCCTTACCGTTAGCGGGGAATGCTGCATTTGGCAAGGGTACAACTAAGGACGCTAATGAAATCTGTATCTTCTCTGTATTACTAAAAAGTGTTATGTGAAAGTCTTGATTGACCAAAGCCATGACAGGGGGTAATGATCAATATCTATGGGCCCATTTGGTGATGACCATGGCTTACAGAAGGTTGAGGTTTGGAATGTAGGAGGAGTAAATGATACAGACCATGAATTAACAAAAGAATGAAGATGGTTCATTCTTGTAGAAATGAATGAATGAAAGTGGTTAAATCTTGTGCAAATGAATACATGCATGGAAGTGCAGTGATGATGTAAGCTTAATTAAGAGTACATGGGCTAAAATATATGTCAGAAATGATGTAATCAAGGTTGCTGGGATGCGTATGAAAATAGGAATTCAGAGATTGCTGCTAGTTGCACACATATGTTCAGAGAATGGTGATATTGGAAGACCCAGAGATGAGTTTTGTGAACAGTTGTGCAGTATTATACTGTCATGTGACATGAAGGGTAGAAACAAGAAGACAACAGAACACAGAAAAGGTGACTTTGAGAGACCCAAGGCTGTGAGAGACCCAAGAATGAAGAGAATGGTGATTGCTTTGTGAGTTATCTGCTTAGAAAAAGGACTGTTTGTTTCAAATGTGTGGCTTAAATGTTAGTCTGTCCATATGTATTAGTAGTAAAGGAATGAATGTAAATCTGAAAGGATGATAGATCTGGTATTTATGATGAAAGAGTGAGAGAATTAGTGGAGGATATATTGGTGACATGAAGTTCTCAATGACATATCATTTTTCCAGTGTAAAAGTGGCATGAATGATCAGTACAAAATATGCATGTTGAGTGGGTTGCTCATATTGAGAGAATGAATGAGGATCAAACTGCAAAACAAATAGATGAACGAAAAGTGAATGGGTTGAAGAAAAAGGGGAAGGCAGAGAAAGTTGTGGTTGGGTGGAGCTGAGATCCTCAACAAGAAAGATGAAACATTTAAAGATCAAAAGATAATGTACAAATTGATGTGTGGAGGTGGTGGATGGATAGTTTGCAAAGAAAGGACATGGGTAAGATGTAGTGAATGATGCTGATATAAACTGGATTTAGATATATTTCCATTTCTTATCTCATGCCTTTAATTTATTTATTATTGCTTTTTCCTTTTCTAAGCTTTGCATCATGTTGCTCATCCTGAAAGGAAATAAAGGGATGGGGATGAATGTATATATAAATCAGCCGCTAGGTATTAATTGGCTTGAAGACTGTTCTGATTAAGGAGCGGGTAATTGTGATATTTTCTGAAAGACAGCTAATACCTCTGAAGAAGCAAATGGCCATTTCATTAAAGAGAGGCTTAGAGCCTTAAGAGATTTCTTGAGAACTCCTCAACAGCCAGGTTTCAAATATATTCTTCCTCTCAACGGCCTTAGTCAGAAAGCCCTGCCTTCATCCACATCTTAATCCTCTATGCCCCATAAGAGCAGGAACTCTTGCTTGATATTCAAGACAACAGTATTTTTCATTGTGCAGAATGAAACATGTTCAACAAAATAAAGTTTTAGAATTCACTGGGCATATAAAAGCTTTTGGACATGCTAGGAGTAGTTCTTTGATTGCTGGAAAGGATCCTAAGACATTTACATATATTAGGTAACACAAACATGGGCAACATAACATTTTTTGTTTTTTTGCTTTGAAAACAAAACTGTTTCAGGAAAGAGAATTAAATCTGTCTTCTACTCCACACTACTCTGATCCCAATAGATGCCTTCAATTTTCCTTGGAATTAAAAAAAAGGGCATAGAAGCATAGAAGCCCTGTTGTAAGCTTTTGCTTATAATGTGCTATTAATCTCTAAATGTAATTATACCTATTCACATGGGATTAAGTGGAGACTTATCTAGAATTGCACAGAATGCTATGCCACTTCAATTTTTTTAAGCTAGTAACTGCATTATTTTTCTAGTTGATACCTGTATTTTTGTAATCTATATCCATTATCTAGATTGTTAATAATTTATTATAATCAGGAATGCTTGTGCATCTGGGATTTCTCATATTGAGTAATAACATAAATATGGTATCTAATTGTCATCATGTGTATTCTTAGTATACAAAGGACAAAAATCAGTCCCATGGGAGGACTGTACTATGATAGATAAGTCACATTTGGACTCTATAGTATGTACCTTCTTTTGGTATTTTAGAAATTTCAAGTAAAATATTTCTAATTTAATTAAATGAAATAAAAACAAGACTTACTGATTTCACACTGATCCCCCTCCAGACCTGCAGGACAAATACATTTTCCTGGATAAAAGCATATTCCTCCATTGAAACAGATGTTTGTACAGTTTGCTGTGAGATATAGCATTAAAATATTATATATAATGTAATAGATAATTTACGTAAAGCTTTAGTAAAGTTCAATACAATTTACAGTCTTTTCAAAAGCTAAAGAGCTCAATAAAATGTAATATCCTCATCTAAAGCACCATGTTTATATATGCAGATAGCCAGCATACTTTCTCTGGAGTAGGCATCTTAGTGTTCCCTAAATGTTGTGGGCTACAACTTCTGTAAGTTTTTAATATTGACCATGTTGGCTGAGGCTGATTGAAACGGAAATTAAAACCATCTGGAGGACTGCAGCTTGTGTTCATTGGAGCTGCAGCAGTAAGAAAGGTACGGTGCTTGGTGCTGATTTATCTGTTTGCATGGTGAATGATATTAAGGTTCTGCCACCCTAAACAAACAGACAGACAAACAAACAAAACAACTCAATGGAAATGAGATTGTTCAAGAATCCTCCAGGCTCATTCTATACTTAATTTTTACTGAGAGTCAGCTAGGCCATATTGCTTTCATTTGGTGTTTGTGATCAAAAGGAAAGTGCAACCAAGGATTAAATACAGAGGACCCAGGAGTACAACCCTGTGCAAACTCTAAGCCAACTACATGCTAGGAGGTGCCAGTACAGTGGTACCTCTACTTACGAACGCACCTACTTACAAATTTTTTGAGATACGACCAGCTCCGGCCCCAAAAATTTACCTCTACTTACGAACTCGCGTCGACTTATGAACTGGATCCGCGGCCATTTTCTGCCCGTTCCATGTGGTCCGCGGCCATTTTCCGCCCGTTCCACGTGGTCCGCGGCCATTTTTCCACCCGTGCCACGTGGTCTG